AATATTCGATATCCGAAATTCAATAAACTCGCTTAACCGAACATCCAAAAAATCCACATTATCCAGATATTAAGAGAACCCGCTTATCCGAATATTTAAAAAATCCAGATTATCCGTTGCTTTGGTGAAGACTTAGTCATGACTGCTAATGACTGCCCTCCACTGCATCACTTTTCTACAGTTCCAAACCAGTTCTAAATTCGACAGGTGGGCTCTAGTTCGTTCTTCCTCCCTTCTTCGATAGTTCCGAACTACTCCAAAATTCGCCGCCTTAGAAACAGGCTTCTAATGAAATTTTCTTGTTTTGTTGTTACTTTCGGACTGGTTCGTTTTGGCTATAAAGTTGTAGCAGTGAACTAGAAATTCGGTTCACTAGTTCGGGGTTTCTCTGCAGGGTTATAACTGCACATTTGTACATACATACATACATATGTACATATATATGTATGTGTATACGCAATTATAAGTATCATATAAAAACCGACAAACTTACATACATATATCCATATAAATATAACGTATGTATGTAGAATTTAATTTCAGCCCTTGTTTACTCGGAATATAATAATATTTGCTTAGTTTATATGCTTTACAATATGTATAAATCAAACTAAAATTCCTTAACATTTATACAGTCTGCCTGCCTATGCCGCAATTACCTTTTTGTATGTATAATGTCTAGCATTACATACATCCATAAATATCTACATTTGTAAATGTATTATATTTCAAGTTTGCATTTACTTGTGCCGCAAATATTTACTTAACTGTCAACGTTATCAGCAAAGCACTCGATATCCAACACACTTCAACTGTGACAATTCAACTGCCAAGCAAATAGTATATATCGCACGCCGTATTCAAAAGAGTCACAACTCAATATTTTGCATTTTTGAAATTATGTACTAAAAATGTATACAGAGCTTTTATTTACCTTTCAGCAAAAGCTGGAGCAAATTCTTGTTATAATTTGTTGAAAAGACCAAGGTAAAGTCGCCCGTGACCATATGATTATCATGTGCTAAGAAATAGTTTTTCGCATTTTCTGACAAACCTATTATTTTGAGTTATGACTCTTTTGAAGACGGTGTGCGATATGTAGTAGAATGCATATAAATATACAACCATTGTGGATATCATTTCGTCTGTATTGCCGATAGAATGGCACAAGTCTACCGACATCAAGTGTAGTGTGTATATAGTATGTATGCATAGTACCACTAACTATGTAGTATGAATACTATGAAGAAGCAACAACAAGTATGACACCTTATTTGCGCCACTTAACGATGAGTTGTCACGCTGCCACGACACTTTTAACGCTTGTCAATTTCAGTACCCATCAATTGAATTCTATATACATATTTACATATTCTGCATCCTACTCTGAAATGTCGTAAGCCAAAGCCAATTCAGTATTTGTGCTGAGAACTTCTTTCTGTGTTGACTAGTGATGTGCTGAGTCGATACTTTTAAGTATTGGTAGATGCTCTGTACCGATTTAAAAAGTATTCAATACTTTCGATACTCGGTACCGGAATGTGTAGGAACGGAATGTATAAGAACGTATATTGGCCTAGCCTATCAAAAACCGAGTATAGGGACTAATAGCTGTTAATGCTGATTCAAATGAAAATTATATATACATTTTCCGTCGCCAAAATGCAGATAAACTCATCCTTATTTGATTATTTTGAGAAAGAATCGTCTAATTTTGACAGATATTTTGTTGAAAATTATGTCATAATGCTGCAATTAACTTTAGTATCGACTTTATTTCGTTTATGAATACGCCACATTTTTTTTAAGGCGATATCACATAAAGTAGCAAAAACTATCTTTACTTGAAATGTATATTATGGCGAAGGTTTAATTATGTATAAAATCGGTATTGGGTACCGAAAAGAAAGTATTGAGTACCGAAATGTTTCTGAAGTATTGGGTACCGAGTATTGGGTACCGGCAATTCAGCACATCACTAATATGGACAATGTCTAAAGCTGCGAAATCAGCTTGTGACAAGTAAGCGTAAATGCATAAAAGCATAAACAGATGGCAGCGTTGATCCGGATCAACTCAGGCGATTAACTGCACTTGATCCGGATTAAGTCCGAGTTAGTCTGGATCGACCTGCCGTCTGTTTAAGCTTTAACAATGGTATAAATTAGAACTTGGCTTAAAATCGCAGGGTATATAAATACAGGCAAGGGTGTTATTAAACGCAAGGTCGGTTGCTTTAGCTTAGATATTTAGAGAGCTTCGGTATTCAAGTGAAAGTTCTATGGTACAAAAGTAAAATGGCCCAATGGCTAAGCTTCCCTAATAGCTTCTACGTGGGCGTGAAAAAATATGGGGGTTCACGAGTTGTAAGTGGTCGTCCACGAAAATCGAATCAGTTTCGATATTAAATAAACAAATTTTGGCTTGGGTTTAGGTATCATCTATCTGCCTACATTATACTCAAAAAATTAAAATATTGAGACTTTAAAAACGCAGTTTGAAGCTTTAACGTTCTGATTTTCAGTTTTCTTGGCAAAAAGTTTTTAAGGGCTACGGTTCTCATGCAATTCTGACAGATAGCGTGAAAAAATAATTTTTACAATTGTTTCTTATTTTTGGTCCAAGGCCTTGCAAGGGCATGAAATTCTTTTTTTCGGTTAGATCGGCATATAGATCAGTTAACGTATTTATTTAGCTTTAGTTTTTTAAAACTTCCCTTAATTTTTTTTTTAGTGTATTTTTTTTGTTTTTTTTTTTGAGTTTGCAAAAATACCCCACCGAGGAATAAAACTTCCATCTTCCTTCATTACAACTGTTAAGGAGCAATCAATTTTGATTTTCTCTTTTGTGGGTTAAAAAAAAGGAGGCTGTTGTACTAAATTTATCTTTAATATAACTCAGTTTTTTCGCTTCAATATTTGGCTCACGCTCCCATGCCACTCAAAATATTACGCCTCATCTTGTTTATGTAGCTTTCATAACTTATTAGATTTAATATGTAGTTGAAAAACTCATTGAGCAATTATTTTATCTATGCTCTAAATTTTATACGTGCTTTACGAACTCTGTTATAAGACGGTCAACGACTATTACTTGAAAAAACTTGCATCTTCCATCGCTCGATCTAGTTTCACATATTTTGGCGAGTTTTGGGGATACGGTAGAAATGTAGCAGCAGGCAGTCCACCGAAACCAGTAATATTTCGAAAGTGGTCCACGAAAAAAAAAATATGCTAGGAACTTTTGCTCTAGTCAGTAGTCTAGTAGTACTTTTCGTAGTGAACATCGATTTTGAGACTATTTGGTATTTAGAAAAATATTTCACGCCTCTAGTCTCAACAAAAGGCACTAATAGTGGCTGAGTAGTTTAAGGGGTGCGTACTACCACTGCATCCTGGGTTTGATCCCTAGGACGGGTGATATCTGTAATAGAAAACGCTTTTTCTAACAGCGGTCGCCCCTCGGCAGGCAATGGCAAACCTTCGAGTGTATGTTTGCCATAAAAAGGCTTCTCATAAAATTGATCAAACTTCCAGAGGCGGTGTAAAACTATCCCTACATTCAACGCGATTTTCTAGAGTCTCCAAACTTGCAACCCACATCGCCTCAGATGGCTAGGTGTGCATCACACATGACACATATTTCTCTTCTACGGCACCATCCAGCTTTTGGAAAATCACAATTTAGCTGCAAGTGTACCAGGCCACTGAGGGCATTCGCGGACCAAACAAAAGCAAATGTTAAGCCTAAATTTCTCAACTTTTAGAAACACTAAGAACTATTTTGAAGTGTTGGTGAGATCCTCCTGTCTTCATAGATTTTAATTTTTCTATCACTAAGCTCCTTTGTCTCAGCTACTTTTCATACTTATTTTCAGCGCATGCTTCCTCTGCTTACACTTCAAGCGTGTTGTTGACACCTTAATTATAAAACAAAAAATGCGTTGACTGTCACTACCACTTTATACAGTTAACTAGCTGGGCAGTGAGAAAATCTAAATGACAAGTTAAACTATTGTATTTATTATATCTATTAGTGTCTGTGCAGCAATGCAAGTACATAACTCAACCAGTCATTCAAGCTCGCAATCAGCTAGAGTCATCAAAGCTAAAAACGTTGAAGCTGCTAGTTGTGCCACTAAGCCACTGAGATTGTTGACCAATTCGACGGTTAATTACAAAGTTAATTGTCTGAAAAAAAATAATCGCTCTCCAGTTAGCTAAATGCGTATGTATTTGGCTCATCGCTGATTAAACCATTTCCGTTCTTTGTACTGTGCCACTTTTATAAGCTTTCTGGGCGAACCACAAATGAAGCAGTTTTTTTTTTATTTTTTTTTTTATCAGTATACTTGGAGTAGTTCTTTCACTTTATTCTAGGGCAATACTAAGTGGTGCTTATTCCACAACGTCTCTCTGTAAATGCCTTTTAGTTTGCTAATTCAAGTACGACTGTATCGGAACCTACGACTGATTCGACGGCATTCCTGTCGCAGAATCGGTTAATAATATTCAAGTAACTGCTGATCAGGGCACTCTGTCTTGTGAAAGACTGGTCTGGGGAAAATGAAATTAATGTTAATAGGGTTATCCCAATTTAGGTTTTGTATCTTGGGATCTTGTATTTCCAAGTGAATAATACTAGGTCAGTCTTCTCATCGTTAACGCTCAGTCCCACTTCTGTGGCCCAATCACTAATGGCTTTCAGCGTCTGGGCTGCCAGTGAACTCAGTCACTGTAATTTATTTATCACAAACGTCCATAGAAGCGGAGATAGCATCCCTGCCTGCAGTGTGCCCCTATGCACGTCTCTCGTCACCTCATTTGAGCAATGGGGCCGAGTTCTTTCTACAGCCTAACATACTCGTATAACATTAAAATAAATATTTTAGTTGTTCAAGTTGAAATACAACATGAATACTTAAAATGTACTTATTAACACTTAAAAATTGAATTCCTACTCAAATTAACCGTAATTCATTATAATTTCTTTCGTTCCAGGGGACATCCTCTCCGGCGTCTGCTTCGTTGGCCAACTGGACACACACTCTCTGGGCGTCTTCCTCATACTGCCACTCTGCATTTATCTTTCCATCGGCGCGCTCTTTCTACTCGCCGGCTTTATATCGCTATTTCGCATACGCACTGTAATGAAGACAGATGGCAAGCGTACAGACAAACTGGAGCGACTCATGATGCGCATCGGCTTCTTTTCTGGCCTCTTTATATTGCCAGCGCTCGGCTTTCTTGGCTGTCTCTTCTATGAATATTACTACTTTGACGAGTGGATGATTCAATGGCATCGCGATATATGTAAACCCTTCTCCATACCTTGTCCGCAAATGCGTCAAGATGGTCTGGAGTCACGTCCCATTTTTCAGATTTATATGGTGAAGTATTTGTGTTCAATGCTGGTAGGCGTAACGTCGAGTGTCTGGTTGTATTCGGGCAAAACGATGGTGAGTTGGCGTAATTTTGTGGAGCGCCTGCAGGGGAAGGATCCAAGAACGCGTGCTCAGGCCTATGTTTAGTTAAATTAAGTTGAGTTTTGGAGTTGCATAGTTGTTTAAGGATATGTGTAGTTATAAGTGTGATTGCAAGTGTATTTGTTTATAAGTGTAAGCTTGTGTGTAAAATATGTATGCGAATGAAAAATGCGCTACGTGAGGTTTTTGTTTTTTTTGTTTGAGACGCGTGCGCTGCTTAAGCTTGACTCAAGCTACAAATGTTGTTGTATAAAAGCTAAGAGATACTGGTACAAGTTTGTAGACAAATTTTGAGGTTATCATTTTCGTTAAAAGCTCAAAGACTTATTAAGCTTAATAGTTTTGAGTGGAAACTAAATTTTGAGTTGAATTGCTTAGGCGTACTAATTCAATTGATTTTTTTTCTAATGAGATTATTTTGTTTAAACAGCAAGAGCGGAAAGTCAGCATGTAATATTTGTGTATGAGTGTGTATATTTGTGTATTTTGTTTGAGTAAAATTTTGAGTGTTTTATTAGCTCAACTCCGCGTTTAAGTGATCTTTGTAAAAGTTTTGCGTGCAAATATTAAAACAGTGTGTTAAAAAGCTCAGCGATTTCCAAATTTTATAAAACAAATTAATCAAAATAAATTTTTAAGTACATTATTTATGGATGAGTAAATGTAAAGCTTATTGAGCTTAAGTTGTATGTATTAGTTTATATGTCAACAGGCATACGTGTAAGTTGAAACGCGTAACAGAATAAGAACAAACGCAAAAAATAGTTTGTAGTTGTTAAAGCTTTACATGTGCCCTAAAATGTAGTTTTAAAAATGTAAGTAATAAAATATAAGATTAAGGGAAGACAGCTAAATGGGCAGGTATGCAGATTAAGTGAAATTTCAAAAAATTCAGTGCAATTTCGAAAAAAATATGAAGATCAAATGAAAGAAAAAATTATTTAGAATTAAAAAAATAGAGTTTTTCTCTATACTAAAACTACCTTTTTCTATAGATATAATCACTCGAATTCTTCAGTTTTCAGCGAAATTTTCAAGTCGGTTAATTTTGCGACCCTCTAATTTCCCACGACCCACAAATCCAGAGGAATTTCTATTTATGTAACTAGAAGGTAATGTACTATCTACTCAGCTAGGCTCCTTGAGCATACGTGCACTGATAGAAATATATGCGAGCTTAGTTACTTACACGATTACTTGAATTTTTTTGTAACTCAAAATTTGTTTTAGGTTAAATTTTTTTAATTGATTTGAAAAAAAAATGCAAAAGACCGCGGGTAAAAACAATATTAAAAATCATAACTGAAATCTCAAGGACTATAAAAATACCTACGCTTTGTTCAATTGTGTGAGAAACTATATATTCAGACAAAATTTTAAATTGAATGAAAAGCTGTTATCAGCAAAAGAGGTTCTATTAAAACCAAACCCAATCACAGAGTATTCCATGGCCTATTTAACGCCATCAACTGTCTTCCCTTAATTCGTTTAAAAAATTTAAAAAAATATTTCAAAAAATATATAGTATAAAAACTATCATCTACTACCACAAGCAACCATAAGAAAACGTCCTCCATGTGCTAAATACTTAGAAAATTAACGTAAGTGTAAACGATTTGTTGAAGATTAAGAAAAAAATAAAACCAAAATAATTTTAAGCACAAATTGTATTTGTAAGCCCTTTCTAGCCAGTAAGCTTGCATGTTATAGTTTAAGCCCTAAAACAAAAATTATTAAAAATAGTGGAAAAAAGATAATTTTAAAAAAAAAACCAACAAAGTTGTATTAAAATTCCTCTTAATTTGTGCAACAATGACGTTATAGTCATAATATTAAGTTTTCCTCGCTCAAAATATACGAAATTGTAAGTAATTAGCTATGTATGTACAATAACACTTTTTTGAACAGAAGGCACAATTTTTAAACAGTTTATTTTGTAAACCAATGCTGCCATAAAATTACATGCATATGTACGAACAAATTTACAACCACTTTGCTACTGTTCTTAAGGTTTTCAGTACATTTTCAAATTCGATCACAGAAAAAATAATAAATTTTGTATCCCAAAAAATAAATACATTTGTAATACTTATAAAAAAAATTCTTTGATTTTTGTTTTAACTTGTAAAGAGAAAAAATTTCAATTAACTTTCCCAATCGTTTAACCAAGTTCCGCCCCTTTATTCAAAAGTAATTTCCACAAATCTTTAAACGTAGGAGTTTTTAGCCCCTTTTCTTTAATACTAATTTTCTAATGTATTATATTTTCTTCTTATTAATGTAAATTATGCGATTTTCAAAACGTTGTCTTGTATTGACTAGTATGAATGCGTTTGAAGTTTAAAGCAATTTTTTATCATCGTAAGCAAATAAAAATGATTGAATAAAAAAATAATATTGTATTGTTAAAGACTGAAAAAAATGCTGTTTTTGTATTTGGAGATCAACGCGGAGATGGTTTGTATACTTCTGCATTATTCGGTTGCAGCGGCCGATGGATTTTATCCCATAATCACTTCTACCAGATCTTCGTCTTTTCTCTGTCAGTATATATATACTACAAATGGCTCTATAATTGAATTCATTTCAAGGCGACTTCATACAAGGTGACGTTATTAGACCAGCTGATTCCTTCTTCTTACATTCGCCTTACATGCATTTTGTTTTTGCTTTTACTCAACTGATTTGACAGCACACCCGACGAAAGCAAAAACAAATTATGGCCAGTTGGCGTAATTTCGAAGAATAAAAGCCGCATACGTTTCCCTGGCCTAATTCCATACTAACTAACTGACAGAAATGGACTTAACAAAGCTTTTACATTTTTTCCTAAAAATGAGGGCGTCACAAATATATAGACAAAACAGTCAAGTGGGGTTAACAAAATGCTTCACAAGTTCACTATTTCTTGCTCTAAGTAAATGAGCTCTAAAAAAATGTTTATATTATGTATCATTAGAAAGGTAAATAGTCCATCCATCTGCTCTACTACCTATATAACTTTTTATACAAAATATCTTTTGTAATCACGGTGATTTTTAATTGATACTCCCAAATTTATTTTAACCCAACCATATTCAGTAAAAAGGTTAAAAAATTTCCTTTCTAACATAAATCGCCAAGCCGTACTTATCTATGTATATTCTACATTAAACTATTGAAAACATTTTGGCACATTTTGTTGGCAGCATTATTTAACTTTTCACCTACAAAGCCACCTACGACACCTAAGCTCATAATAAGTCTAAAAAGGATCAGTTAACTAATTGAAATCTCCTACTGCAAACTTGTATTAAACTACAAATTGGAGTTAAATAACATTAAGCCGCTTTAGTGTATGTATGCCCTTCATCGTAGAGAATAAGACCACCGCAGAATTAACTGCAAAGCCCCTTGGTAACTCAGTACCCAAATATTTCTAATAAAAATCTCCCGCAAATCGCAAAATAGCCGTCTACTTTATGGCTACAATAATGGCTGAAAATTACAAGAATAACCAGGACAACAGTAGCTAAAGGGGACCGCACACAACTACGTACATACATAAGTATACTTTTACGTACATGTTTAGGAGAAACAAAAGGTAGAGTACTTACATAGGTACTCGTAGTTATACTAGCATATTGAAAGCGAAACAAAGTATGTATATGAGTTCGCCTTCACAAAAAGCGAGTGAGACCAATCCAAATGTTGGAATTCACTTAGGCAGCAACAAAAGCCACGCAGTCGACACTGCATTGCGTTAGACCACCAGTCATGCCCAAGGCTGGCAGAACTCCATAAGCAAGTGCGCTGCGCTGGGCATGCCTGCGTTAGACAGTCATACAGCCTAGTGAAAGCTTTGACCGCTAATCTTTTACTTAGACTATTTGATTTCTGTTTTTTTTTTGCGCTTTTATGCCCGCTTTGCCTCATTGCTACCTTCCAGTTCATGATGCTGGTAAGTTTCGCCTTGATATTGTTCCATAATTTATTAGAGTAATGGCATCTCCTGTCTGCAAAGTCTTTCTATGTATGACTGTGCATGCTGTGCTACCGAACCGCAGCCTTTGAGCGCACATGTCGATGTACTTATGAAAATTTGTATGTATGTACATATGTAAGTGGTTGCAATTTCTATTTGAAGTAATTTAATTTGAGATTTTATGGATACTAGTCTTCGCCCAGCGGTTGAAATTCAACCGCTAAAATTAAGGATAGTTTTTGTGAGTTGAGTTGAACTGAAATAACATTAGTTGGAATGGGTTTAGTGGAGGGGAGTCTAGCGGTGGTGAAATTGTGTGTGGTGAGTTGCGGTATGGTGGAATTGGTTGTGGGAGTTACGGTGTAGTGAATTCAGGAGTAGTGGGCTTAACAGGTGTGGTGAGTTTAGGTGTGGTGAATTTAGTTGTGGTGAATTAAGGTGTGGTGTGTTGAGGTGTGGTGAATTAAGGTGCGCTCTCAACTCACCACAATCAAATTCACCACACCTAACTCCAACACACCTTAATTCACCACACCTCAACTTTCTCACCGCACCTCAACTCACCACAAATCAACTCCCCACACCCGATTCCACCACACCGCAACTCACCACACCCGATTTCACCACATGACATGATATCACTTAATGTGGCATTAAACATAAACATAAAGATTAAAAGCGATAGAGACAAGGTTCACGAAAATTCCCAAAAAGAAAACAAAAAACCCCCAAAGAAAGAAAAATCCGGCAAGATACAATATATAGGTCAAAAAATGCCTAAAAGTCTCGAAGGATACAGCAATGATCTGAAAAAAGTCCTAAACGTCCACATAAATCTTGAGAAGTCTGGGATACATTAGATGTTCCGAAAATATTAAGAAGAAAGTTGGCAGTAAAAAACCAAATTTCTAGAAAGGTCTCGAAAAAGCACCGAAAGAAGTCGAAAAAATATCGTTATTCGAAAGAAAATCCATATGAACCAAAAAAAAAATGAAAAGACGAGAAACTTCAAGAAAAATCAGAAAGGTAAAAAAAATAAATCTGAAAGTTTCTGGCACAAAGCCAAAAGGTAAAAAAAGAAAAAATCTTTAATAAAGACGAAAAACACCCGATTCGTTCCAAAAAGAGCCATAACATTGAAAATGAAACATGATAATTCTGAGAATTCGCAAAAGAGTACCGAAAGATTCCAAAAAAAATCCAAAGGGTTCCCGAAAACCCGAACTAGTTCAAGAAAAACTAGGACAATTCTCGAAAAAGCATCAAAAGTCTTCGAATAAAACTCGGAAATTCCATATAAAATAAAACACAATCCTAAAAAGCTCCGATAATATCCGCAAAAGCTAGCGAAGAAATACAAAAAAAGAATATTGCGAAAAAATCCTAAAACGTTTATCAGAAAATCCAAGCATTAGAATATCTATAGTGTTTTGCAATGTAAGAAGATAGTACACTTAATTTTAAAGAATAATAAGTCAGGAATTTTTTCCGAATCAGTCTCAAAAAGTTATTCAATTTAATTATGTTACAGTATTCTCCCTTTATTTGGACCATCCAGTATATAAATATTGGAATATTGGTTTTCTTTCTAGTCATGGTATATGAAATAGAAACAACAAAATGAAATTTTCGGACGGCTGCTATACCGTATGCGCTTTCGACTAGGTAATTTTCGAATAGTAATATAATACAAAGCTAGGACAAAGACAAAGGCAAAGCTAAGGCAAACTGCGAAAGCCAAAAACTATACCCATAAGTAAATAAATGTACATACATACATATAGAAGCGACATTCTAAGGCTTCAAAAAAAGAAAGGAAAAGGAAATGAAATGCCTTAAAAGAGTAGACATCCTTGCTACGCGCGAACGATGTGACAGAAATGCAATTAAGCAAAAGCCCTAAAGATAAGTGAATGGAACACAAGCATAAATATTTGTTGGTCACAAAAATAGCTCGCAGAAATTTTCTGGCCATAAGGGAAACTAATATTATAAGTATGCTTATGTATGCTGCGAATACTGAAAATGTGGCAAATTCGGCAACAACACTGAGGTTCTGTAAGTGTACTTTTGTACGACATGTGCTATGCTATTTACTAAAAGCTTTCTCGGAAGCTTACTAGTATGAGTACTTGTTACTGTTTCTATTAGTGTTAGTTTAAGTACAAAAATATATTTGTATGCGCGTACATAAGTACATTCATACAAATACATATGTAAGCAAAATGTAACCAAATAAAAGGAGTGACCACTTAGCAATGAATCGAATGAAAAAGCAATTAAAGGCACTTAAAGTATTTGGAAATCATTTGGTTAATGTGCTCGTAAATCGTCAGACGTGTGGCTAAGTAAAAAAGAAATTCAATGATAAGTAATTCATGTTCATGGAGATGACAGATTAAGAAAAATCGAGTTTTACTGGTAAAGAGGTTCTCGGAATTTCCAAAATAGATGCAGAAAGAGCATTTTGTTTAAATAATCGCAGCCACTGACGCATCTCAATTGAGGTCGCGTTAATTCGGTTGGTCGGTCGCTGTAGTCGAGCAGTTTGAGGCACGAGCTACCACTTGACAGAATCTAAGTTCAATTCCTAATCCGACGAACATCCGAAAATATAAAAATTGTTGCTAGCAGCGGTCGCCCCTCGGCAGGCAATAGCGAACCGCCGAGTGTATTTCCGCCATGAAAGAGCAAATTAAAGGCGAAGTTCTGCCAAAAACTTATCAGAAATGTCAACGCCAGATACTTTTGCTATTGCTTCGGTTGACTAGCAGATAACTGGTCTTCG